CCCCCCGACCCAGCTACAAGGAAAGTCTCGTGTGTGAAGGGGAGGGAGGGAGCCTCTGCTTTTCTTTCTTGCCTCCTCAGATCTCCCCCTTCTAGTTATCTCTCTCTCCTGTTCAGTTTCTTCCTCTTCTTCTGCTCCTTCTCTCTCCCCTCCCTTCTTGCCCAGAGTCCAGGAGCAGCAGCAGCAGGAGGCAATGTGTGAGTGTTGGCAGCTGAGCTCCTCAGTTCAGTCAGACTCTGGAGCCTCCCTCCCTCCCTCCCTCCCGGAGTAGTGAGTGCGGAGTGTGAGTGAGTGGAAATGGCAGCAGCGCCTTCCCTGCAGAAGTGGCTCTGCAGCCCCCCACCTCTCCTCGGCTGCCTCCCGTCCCACACCAGCAGCCTGGTCCTAGCGCCTCCCGATCCCTCACTCGGGCTCCTCAAACAAACAGCCCGGCAGAGGAGTTCGCTATTTTTTTTTTTCAATCTAGTTTTTTTGTTTTAAATGTGATGGCAAAGGAAAGGGCTGCCGCAGAGAGAGGGGCTGCAAGCGCATGGGCTGGGAGCGCACAGACGTTCTTCACCTGGACAGGCATTAGGGTAATTCGGTTTGGGACAGATATGACCAGCAGCTTGAACACCAGCAGAGAGCATGAAATATATGTCAGGTAGAAAAGAACACCTCCTTCACTTCTAGTTTGCATCTGGAATACTGTCAGGGTGCCTCTCAATCTTGCTAGCCCCCTGGGTAGACTCAAGGCACCCCTCCGTTTTCCGTTCCTTGGGTCATTTACATAGGTGACTGGTAGGGGGTGCAGGGCTGGTACCCGCCCATGATGGCCAACACTGATGCTGTTGGTAGGGCTGGTACCCCCCCTCCCCAACAGGGCCACCGTCGTTGGCGGCTTCTGTGGGTGCCCCCCCAGATTCAGGAGGCACCAGTCACTCATGGTCATTTACTCTGTTTGTACACCATGCTGGGCTAGGGTGGCCATCACAGAGGACATTCTGGTTTTCTGCTACTCTGTCCTCTATTGATACAAAACCCGATGCCTTTGTCCGCTATTTTTCTCTTGAAGAAGAAAATAGAGACATCAAGAGAAAAATAGAGGACATAAAGGTGTCGGGTTTTGTATCAATAGAGGACAGAGGACAACTGGACAGTCCTCTATGATGGCCACCCTAGCCCAGCCTAGTTAACCACAATGCACTCCCGCAGAAGAAAAAATGATAATTAAAAAACCCAGCTCTTATGATGTCACACAGGTATTAACTGATGACACCCCAAAGTAATCCATGAGAAGCAAGTGTCTGGATTCTCACTGCAATTCTTGATGTGCTGTTGGCAAACGCTGTTACATAGTAGCAAACGGTTTTTTTTAAAGAAATCCTGACACATCAGTTATTGCACTTTTACTGAAATACACGCATGGACAGGGGCTGCCCTGGCCTGCAAGCGCAATGGCTGGGAGCACACAGACGTTCTTCACCTGGACAGGCATTAGGGTAACTCGGGTTGTGACAGATGTGACTAGCAGCTTGAACACCAGCAGAGAGCATGAAATACATGTCCAGTAGAAAAGAACACCTCCTCCTTCACTTCCAGTTTGCATCAGGAATACCGTAACGGTGCTTCTCAACTTTGCTAACCCCCTGTTTAGACTCAAGACCCCCTCTGTTTTACATTCCTTGGATGAAGGACTGTCATTTACTCTGTGTTAATACACAATAGGGTCCCAGCCTGGTTAACCACAACGCACTCCTGCAGAAGAAAAAATGATAATTAAAAACCTAGCTCTTATGGATGTCACACAGGTATTAACTGATGACACCCCATAATAATCCAAGAAAAGTGAGTGCTTGGATTATCATTGGCAGGCAAGGTTGTTTGGGTGAATCTGATACCTTTTATTAGACAAACTTAAATAGTTGGAAAAAAAATTCTTAACAAGCTTTGGGTTTAAAAACCCTTTGTCAGGCTGAAGAAGCATCTGCAGTTGGTGCACCCTCTTCCTCGATGGAATGGATTGTCATTGCAATTCTTGATGTGCTGTTCTGCAAATGATGTTACATAGTATCAAATAAATAACTCCTGACACATCAGTTATTTCACTTATACTGAAATACACACATGGAGAGGGGCTGCCCTGGCCTGCAAGTGCATTGGCTGAGAGCACACAGATGCTCTTTACCTGGACAGGCATTAGGGTAACTCGGGTTGTGACAGATGTGACTAGAAGCTTGAACTCCAGCACAGACACCTAACCAAGAGCATAAAATATGTATCTGGTAGAAAAGAACACCTTCACCATTGAAAGGGCTTTATTGCTTTGACTTAACAGACATGAATGGCTTTATACCACTTCAAAATTGGAACAGCACTTTAAATTAACCCTTGTTAAATGAAGTATTAAATTTGAAATGCTGTGTTTTACAGCACTTCAGCAACCTACAGCACTTAAAATAACTTCTGAATGCAGGTCAAATTTCTGACCAGTGTAGAAGCCCCAAAAAGATGCGGAATGACCCCTGCCTCCTACCCTGGAAAGTTCAGGGAGGCTAAGAGAGCTTCCCCCTCAACCTCCAAACACTGCACTTCTGTCATGTTTAAAAGCACTGTGACTTTATAGTTGCTATAAAAAGTGCTGTAAATTATAGCACTGTAAAATGTGCATGGAGCACTTCTGTGCACACCTTTAGTTTTCACTGTGGAAAAAGAATAGAGCAGTTCTGTTGCAAATAACTCAAAATGTTGCAAATAACTCAGAATGTTTTTAACACTGTGGATTCTTATTTCATGCATCATAGAATTACAGAAAATTAGGGCTGGAAGGGACCTCCGGAGGTCATCTAGTACAACCCCCTGCTCAAAGCAGGACCATCCTAAACTAGATCATTGTCAAGCTGGGCCTTAAAAACTCCCAAGGATGAAGATTCCACCACCCTTTCTAGGTAACCTGTTCCAATTGGCATCTGTTGAAGGGTCTAGGTTTATCCTGTGAATTGTGTTTATATAACCAATGTTGCATAGCAGCCTGGGCCACTCTTGAAAGGATCTCAGAGTGCCCCAGCATGCTGCAGCAACCTGTTTGGGAATCACTGCTATAACAACTTAGTCTCTTTCAGTTTTAAGTTCCATCAGTGAAGGACTGTCATTTATGTGCAGGCCGCCTCCCGATCTCATCCATGTCGCCATGTGCGAGCCGGGAGCGATATGCGGACCCGTTTTTGCGCACACGGGCTGTGGCCAGCAGCCCGGGCACGCGGGGTTTGGTAGTTTCAAAGGAAAGGGATATGTCTTAGGATTGCGCTCGGTGACGGGGAGAGGCTAGAGGCCGTTTGGCCCCCGGAGTGGTTGAAGCTCCGTGGGTTCGGTAAATAGGCCCCTGGAGTTGTTAAGACTCCGTGGGTTCGGTAAGTCGGCCCTCTATTGCCCTCTTAAGGAGAAGAAAAGCTGGGTTCGAAGGGATTAGCAGTGCTTAGAAATCTTCACGCTCTTTCTCCCAAACTCCAATTGCTTTCTCTCTCTCTCTCTCCAACTTGGGCGCAAACCTCCCAAGCTAGCAAGCCAATCGCTAGCCGCCACGTGTGCATAATTTAGGATCGGCCAATAATGTGGCGCGAATCTAAATACAAATGGCGGGAACTCCTTTGCACCGTGCATCACTATGATGCAAAAGAAATGCACCATGCAAAGAAGGCTACAAACTGGCGGGAAATACTGTTTTGCACGCGGGTTCTCTATTGCAGCAGAAAACTCTACCGTGCAAAGGAGCTGCAATTTGGCGGGGACATAATTTAGCGGTGCCGAAGCGCACAAAAACAAAAAACCACAACTTTGGGTTGTGACAATTTACTCTGTGTTTGTACACAATGGGGGCCCCGCCTAGTTAACCACAATGTAGTCCTGCTGCAGAAAAAATGATAAGTAGAAACCCAGCTCTTAGTAATGTCACACAGGTATTAACTGATGACACCCCATAATAATCCAAGAGAAGTGAGTGTCTGGATTCTCACTGCAATTCTTGATGTGCTGTTCTGCAAATGTTGTTGGATAGTAGCAAATTAAAAAAAATATATTGACACCTCACTTATACTGAAAATATATGTGTGTATTCTCTAGATATTCATTGGGATCAGATACTGTGGCGAGGGATACTTTAATGCATGTAAATAATTAGCAATATCATAAGTGTATTGTATTATATCACCATCATGATAAGTGAAAACAAGAGGTTTAACCTAAAAACATTGTAAAATCTACCAACCTGAGCACTGAGCTGGAAATGAGGAGGTACTGAGTCATTGGCGACATGTAGGGGGTGCATGCAGGTGCACGTACACCCCCTGAGATCAATAGTGCACCCCCTGAGATGAGCCACCTCCAGCAGCATTGGTTGCACCTGCGGGAGGTTGCCACTTGCCCCCACCCCCGCTGCCAACACTGCCAGCAGCATCTGTGGGCAGTCGCTGATTGCTGGTTGGTGCTCACCACCCCTCCCCACCACCACCAACACCGTTGCAGCTGCCTGCGGAAGCTCTCCACTTACCCCTGCTGCCACCACTGCTGCCACCATCTGCGAGTGGTTGCTGTGCCCCGCCAGCCTCAGGAGGCATGCGACGTTCATGTACTGAGTTCTAATCCTAGCTTTTAAGACCATCTACTATGGTGGCCTTGTACAAATAACTTAAGCACTCTGCCTTGTTTATATGTAAAATAGGCATATAAAAACCCATTAAGTCTTCTCAGGGTTATTGTGAGAATTCATTAGCACCTATAAATCTACTGGAAAATGAAAAACACAACATAAATTCAAAGTATTAATTCTTATCTGAGACTAAGTCACATTAAAAAACATACCCATTCTTTTTGGAATAAAAAATAAGTAATCTGCAGACGTTCGCATGGCAAATCTGTAACACAAGTGTAGATGAACCCAAAGGGTAATGGAAAACACTAGTGAGCACCACCATGAAAACATGTTCTGTCCACTCAGTCCTCATCTGTGTGCACAGCACACCAAAAAAAATGTGTAGCTTTTATTACAGCATGACCAAGACTGATATATCAAGAGGGGGGCTGGATACATACTGGGCGCATGCCAAAAATGTCTGTCTGACATACAAAGCTTAGGAATTGGGAACAAGAGGGGAGAATGCGTTTTCACAGCAGCACTCCATAGCACTATCCAACATGGAAGACATACCAAAATGCCCTGACCCTCAGTTCCCTGCTCTAAAACATGCATTTTCCCTAACTCAGTTGGAAACACATTAAATAAAAACAATCCAATCCATATGATCCATATTAATATTACCCAATTCATTTATTTTTCCTATGGCCTTGGTACTATATTAATAATCAACTTCTCCCCTTAACACATAATCCAAAGGGGGAAAATCAGGAAAATCCACTCACTGTGTTACTAAATTGCATGGTCCTTGTCTCTAAAATGTAATTCGCTGGGAAATAGTCTCTTCTGCACAACATTCTTCTGTGGTTTGCATTATCGTTTGCTAAACTTATTACGACATATTATTCACCTCTGTCCTTAGTTTCCAGATCTCTGTGCAGCATGTCTCTTCTAGGAATTTCACATATAATGACTCACTCTTTAGCAAACAGTGGCCCCGATGTTGTTTCCACTGAAATAACTAGCATTTTTTTCATTGGCTTGATCAGGAGTAGGATTGGGCCCAAGAGGGTCTGTAATATACACAGATCCACATTCACTGAAAATAATATTAAATTTCTTCCAGCATTGGGCCTCCTTAGCGATCAGTTCAGTAATCATTACACAAGTCAGCTCACTTTCACAGCAGTGTATGTTTGGAATGTTTAAAGAAGTAGTTCTCAACCTCTCTAGACTTGAGGCATCTCTGGATAGACTCAAGGTACCCCCCAGCTCTTAATATTAACTCTCTTTTTGACTACAGAAAAATACTAGTGCAGTTTTTCTACTGCAAAGGACTCAGAAAGACCATGTCTACACATTTCTATTTGAAATCTCTGGGCTTATCTTGTGGATCATGTCTGTATACCTAATAGTGATAATACTGTGTGGCACCTGTGGTGCTCTTGAATGGATTTCCAAGCACCCCAGAGTGCCATGCCACCCTGGTTGAGAATCACAGGTTTAAAGTATGCTTGACCAAAAATGATCTCCCTACTGGAGATCAGTGTGCAACAAAAAACTAGGTCTCTTATTTTAGGTGAAAAAGGGGCTATGCTGCTTTCAATACATGACCTAACTTGTTCAGAAGTAGCTCAGGTATTTCAGAATGGCATTGCATTGGGCTGCATAGACAAATACTAAGTTCTGAAATCAGAATTTTTGTTCTGATTTTTTGTTCTGATTTTTGCTTCCCGAAAAGCAAAAATCAGTCCCTTAGAAATGTATATAAGAGTTTTATATTCACTGCAGAGTTTTTAGGTGGCTGGCCCATGAGTAGGAAAACCTGAGTTGTCCAAGCTTGGGTATGAGAACTGCAAAACTATACCAGTGAGGAGCTAAGATTTTTGAGTTCTTAAACTTATTACTGCAGTAAACCAGACTGTTCTGTAATTCTTTCACATAGATCTGTGAGAGAAGGTGTCTATCCTCCAGAGCACATGGATGAAGTATAGAAATTTATTGGAGGACTATCATCATGCAAATGGTTTATTTCAAAGCTGATAGGTTACCAGCTCACAAGTAATCAGTACATGGGTCTTAGTTTATACTCTAGAATAGTCCATAAGATACTATCACATTTGAGATGGGAGGGAGGGAAATGATTTTGTGTGTAGATGGATGTTAGGTGAGGGACAACACTCAAGTAAATGCTCAGGTTAACTCACCAGTGTTCAGTCAAATCTTTTTCTTTTTTACCATCATCACCACAGCCTACTCCTTCTCCCTCTGTTATTTGTTTACCATGTCTTTCTGCTGGTATTATGGAAACCAATATGTGAGCCTTTCTCTATAATAAATGCAAATTTAACCCTGATTCCAACCTGGCCCTTACTAGTGTTACCAATCCTTCAACCCGTTTCTCACTTTTACTCTTCATTTGATGCTGATGTCGTTCTTTGTCTGTGCTCCAGCTGCTCTCCCATTTAATCTAATCCTGTCCCTATTCTGTTTCTTCTGCCTAGTCTCCAGACCCTTTCTCTATATTACTTACCTTACTGTTGAAAATCTTAGTGCCTCAATAGCTCTGCCAGCCTCTCTTCTGGACCTCTGGTTGTGGTTCACTTTGACTTTTTAAGCCTTCTGGTTAAATTTCAGACTCTGGAGCTTTAAAGATGTGCAATGCACTCTGTTAGTATAATAAAAAATTGCAATATATTTGAAGTGAACAGGTCTAACAGCCTGCCAAGAAGTCATCAGAAGTAACAAGTCCTGGGATTCTAATTTCAGAAAGAACTGGAATATATGTTGGTCACATTTTGGAGTAAGAGGCTTTAGGGCATGGTGGGTAGTATAGTGGCTAGCAGGGAAAAGAAAGTGTGGGTTTCAGTTCCAGGGGTTCATTTAGGATGGTAACATTGCAGAAATACATTCCCGTTCCTCAAGAGCATTAGACAGGTTAACTAACCTTAAACTGGATTTATAATTGTTCCTCTAAGTCAGCCATACAAAAGAAGATGCTGATCATTGATGATTCAGGACTTAGAGTGGCCCCAGTATTTGCAGATGTTTATCTAAATCCAAAAGACCATGTTAAGCATCTGAGATTCATCCATTATCAGTGATATTACCAATTGTTATGCATTATAAAGTAAGAGATTTAGTATTATTACTAACAGGTATAGCTACCAACTATCCTATACAATTTCCCTTTTTAAGACCCCACTCTAAGTTGCCTCAAGCATTGCCAAAATATAAACATCTGGGCCAGAATTTTCCATGCTAGCTTTCTGCCTGTAACTGGATTTTATTTTGAAGGGAGGGGGGGAAAGAGGTGTAGGAAAGGGGAAGGAGAGAACAGGGAAACATGTCAACGAAGAATGTTTCAGTTGTTTCTGGGAACAAGAATAGAGAAGGGTAGAGAAAATATTGTTGTTGAACACACAATGTCAGTATGCTTTGGAGTAGGTCTTGAAATTTAATCTTTGTACTCAAGATATGCTGTTATGTGAGCTCATGAAAATCCACCCAAATTTAGGCAAGGTCTAAGCCTGGCAGAATCATGGTTCACACATGGCTCAGTAGAGACATAGACTTTGGAATCTCCAAAGATTTCATCTTCACTGAACTTAGAATCATAGAATCACAGAAAATGAGGGCTGGAAGGGACCTCAGGAGGTCATCTAGCCCAACCCCCTGCTCAAAGCAGGACCAGCCCCAACTAGATCATTCCAGCCAAGGCTTTGCCTAACCAGGTCTTAAAACCTCCAAGGATGGAGGGTCCACAATCCCACTGGGTAACCTGTTTCAGTATTTTACTATCCTCCTAGTGAGAAAATTCTTCCTTATACCTAACCTAAACTTCCCTTGCTGCAACTTGAGCCTGTTCTGTCATATGCCACCACTCTTCTGTCTTGTTCTGTCATATGCTACCAATGAGAACAGTCTAGCTCCATCCTCTTTCGAACCACCCTTCAGGTAGTTGAAAGCTGCTATTAAATTCCCTCGCAGTCTTCTCTTCTCTAGACAAAACAAGCCTAGTTCCCTCAGCCTTTCCTCAGAAGTCATGTGCCCCAGCCGCCGAACCATTCTCATTGCCCTCTGCTGGACTCTCTCCAATTTGTCCACATCCTTTCTGTAGTGGGGGGCCTGATCATACCCCAGACTTTCCTGATCACACCCTGAACAACCTTAAATCTGGCTTAACTTTGCACCTTTAATAATTTTCTTTTAAAATAGTTTTGCTGGAAAAGTGCGTACACACAAACACACACACACACACACACACACACACACACAGAGTGATAAAGGATGTTCCATATGGTTGTGACCAGGTTCTCTCTGGCCTTCAGTGTTGTGTTTCTTGGGGGGTTTTTTAAGGTGTCAGTATTGCAGAGCCATAGACATTCTCAAGAGGATTCTCTGGCTCTCCTGAAGGTAGGTTGGGGGAAAACTCCCATGTAATAACCCCGCTATTTTCCTGTTTATTTGACTGAAGCACCTTTGGTAAATTGCCCAGGCAAATGAATATATGGATATCCCCAGGCAAATGAATAACCTAGGCATATCAGTTCAGTGGAGTGGGGGGACCACTAAACTTATATAAACCCAGCATGTGTCTCTGGGAGCATCTTGACACGCTAGGGTTTTGTCACAGTCAGTTCCCATCTTGTTCTGGTTTTATGTGTTATCTGAGTCCCTCTGAATTTTCTGAGGATGGGAATTACAGTTCCTCTACCCACAGTAGCATTTGATAATAAACACATCTGCAAAACAGACACCAAAGAAATATGTTTTCCTCTCTTGTTGGTTTTACTGCAAAGTTTAGTTATGAGAATGACTTTGGGCTTCTGCGTGAAGGGCAATGATGTGGGGGTTGTTGAAGGGGATGGTAATAAAAATATGTCAAATGAATAACATCTTACACAGGGAATAAAATTTTTTCACTCAAGAGTCATTCAAGC